CTTATTTCTCTATTACTATCTACAATGAGAAAAGAGTATTCGTTTGCTTAGATCTTAGTGTTGTCAACTGCTGTTGATGATTAGCATCGATCACATCTATATTAGCGTATGTCCGAGGAAAAAAAATGTATCAAAATAAGAATAATAATAATAATAATAATAAACAGAAAAGCAAAAAAAAAACAGAAAGAAAGTTGCTTGACTTTGATCAATAATAAAAATCTATCATGGGAATATATGAGCAATATGTTTTTTTTTTATCTCGAGCGATTAAGACTAGATTTGCATGTGCATGTTTTCAGTCTAATACTCCTGCTACTGGTCCAACTATCACTGCCAATATGCATGTATCTACTCAAGAGACATCAGTTCAAACGGACGATCGTGGTGGTGACATTCAGGTACATATATATGTGTAAAGATAATATTTATTATTATGTCTTAATGATAGTACTGATATGACATTGATTAAATTTTTATTTTGTTTTTATTGTTATTTAGAATGTCATCTATCGAAATCGAGTGTTTATTGCCATTTTCTTTCTAAATTTATCTCTTGCTCTTTGGTTCATTCAATTGTTGAGATGATATGATGATGCTTGTTACCCATTATCGTTCGTTTTTGCTTTTTTTTTTTTTTCTTTTATTTTTTTTTCTCTCCATTTTTCTTCTCTTTGTGCGTATATGTATGTATGTATGCATACAGCTCAAGGTTCTTATTGCCTATTGCTGCTAGAAATACAACAACAACAACAACAATAACTAATATTACTATTACTACTACTATTACTTCATTGCGGAAAAACAACGAAGATTTTCTTTCTTTCATGCGTTTTCTCTTCTATTTTATTTTTTCATCGTGCGCGTGTGTATAGAAAACAAAAAGAGATTGTCGCTCTGTTGTTAGATATAACAATAAGATGATGATACTGGCGATTTTCAGATCGTTGTTTTGTTGCAACCGCACAATCTTTTCTTTCTTTATCTTTTTCTTTCTTTTTTTTTTTTTTTTTTTATTCTTATCGATGCTCTTCCGTGTGTGTATGTCTGTGGGTGTATTTATGCACTCCTTTTTTTCCTCTATTTTATGCTCTCTATTTTTCTTCGTCCTGTATGATAGACACAGACACAACACAAAAAGAGAAAAAATATGGATTTTTTTTCTTTTTTGCATTTGTATTTTTGTTTTTTTTTTTTTGTTCTCTTTGTATACGACAAACGCACATAAATACGCACAAATAGAGAATAATTTTTTTTTCTTTCTATTTTTAATGGAAAAAAAAAGAAGTGTTTGAATTGAAGAATGAAATGAATTTTTTCACTTCATCAATGAGTTTATGAGAAGATTGTTGATTAAAAAATGAAAAAAAGAAAAACCGATTGAATCAATAATCGACGAAGTAAACTAAGCTAATTGTTTAGAAATAAAAAAAAAATATACAATGCGTTGTTTTTTAATAATATTCTAAAGAAGATCGAGAATAATTTCCAAAATTGTTTCTGATTTGTATATTCAAAATCAATCATGTAATAAGTTTTAATTGATTTTCTTTCGAGAGAGAACCATTGAAAATTATGTATGTTCGGTTGAACGTAATATTATTGAAAATAAAGTTTTTTTTTTTTTTATGAATATGCATGAACTCTGTTATCTTATTAAACACTCATCGATGTCAGATTAGTAACAAAAGTATCATAAAAGTTGACAGTCAGAACCGGACGCTATTCTTTGAGAAAAAGAAAAAGAAATGATAAGTTCCGGCTTCATTTCCATGCTCAAATAGACTCACTCATTTGCTGAATCTAGTATCTATGTTAAATAGATATATGATATAACAGTTTTTGAAAATCTATGAATATAATTATTTGAAAATATAGATCGAGAAAATATTGAATTGTTTTCTGATAGAAAAAAATGACAAAAAATTGTCAAGCTCAATTTTAATGAATGCAAAGAAAGATATTTCAATGACTTTTTATTTGATTGATTTTCGACGATGTTATTGAAGTGTCGAACAGCTGCAAAACAAAAAAGAAATAAATTGTATCGATATAAAAGCTATGAATAGTTAAAATACTTATGATAGTTTTACGAGAAATAAGTTCAGCATTGAATCGGGCTAATAAAACAATAATCAATATTGTTAGATTTCTTTTTATATTTTCAAAAACAAAAAGAAAAAAAAGGTAAGAATATTTGAAATTAACTTTGAACATTATATATGTATACATATCTTAAATAAAATAGTGTCTATCAAAGTATTTTATCTGGAACGAATAACTAATCTGCATAAATGTATATAGTAATGATGACTGATTTTTCTATTATATTCAATAAATTATCCATGTAATTTCATAGATGAAAATAAAAAGAACATACAAAACAAAAATATTGTATTACAAGCATGATTGAATATATATATATATATTCTTAAAAAATATAGTTAATAATGGAATATATCTATGCAATCAAAAAAAAATATTCTTATGGAAATCAAAACAAAAGAAAAACACGTATGTCTGATTAGATAATAGAAGAAATGGAAAATATTCAAAACAAATTATTTTAATGCAAGAAAATTGAATTTAACTAGTGAACTAAAATATTACTAATGATAAGAGATCAAATTTTGATTGACGAAATATTAAATACAAAGTAAAAATAACATATTTAATTAAAATTGAAGATTGATGTATATCCGAAAAGGATATCCGTATTCAAATCATTAATCTAGTAGTAATCAGGATAATAAAAATTTTTCTATAAACAAAATAATTTGACAATGTTAAACAGCTTATTATATTCATACATTTGTTATGTAGAAATCCGCTCATATAAAATAAAAAGATTTTTATCCAATGATTTTTCTTTTTGTAATATAGAAAAATTCATGTCGCATTTGATTATTATTATTATTATTATTTTTCTAAGATCATATTTTTAAAAGTGAGTAGATGTTATAACATGAATAATTGTTATTATCAATCTTTATTTTAATTAATAATTATGATAGACCAAGAAATCCTATAAGATTGATCTTCAACTCTTTTCAAAATATTAGATTAAGTATTATTAATTTCTTTCTTGTCCATCACAATTATAAATATTGTTTTCATTTGAAAATAATTTTTATAATTATTAAAATGATAAAAGATAAGTCAAATATTAGAAAATAACATTATTCACGTTTATTAGAATATACATTGAGATAACATGATAGAAAGTTTATTAAACAGCTAATAGCATTTCAATATTTAATAGATTTTCCACTGACGACATTTAAAAAAATGAACGCAATATTTTGTTTTTTTTTCCATGGTGTAATAATCTTCTTATAAATAGTTTTCTCTATACAATAGATTAGCATGATGAACAAAAGAATTAGTTCATATTATGTATGCATTCGATTATTTGCTTCTTTTTGTCTACTGAATATAAAATATCAACTGCTGAGTTTTTTTCAATTATTTTTCAGCTAATGAAAATTATTTATTATAATATTCAGTATGTAATAATAATAGCTGAACATTAAAAAGCAAGTCATATTGCCTGAAAAAAGAATTTTTTTGTTTTTCATAAGGTAATGAAGTTATTATGATAGTCTATAAAAAATTAAAAATCAAACCAAAATTTTTCAGATTTTTAATATAGTAATGAAAAATGACATAAATAAAAAGACACAATTACTGTCATCTTTTACATTTTGTTATTAAATGAATACAATCAAAAAAAAATGATTTAGTTCTCAGGAGACGATGTAGGCGACAGCAATACAAAATAAAAAAAAAAAGGAAAATTATGAGGATGCCTTGAATAACAGTTTATATCTACATCCAAATTGATAAATAATTTTTCTTGGTAGATTGCTTATTTTCTCTTAATATACTGGGCATATAGAATTATGGAGCGCATAAAATGTCTTTATATTTATATAGATATATCATCAACACATTTTTTTCTGCCCTCTATACATGTTTAATCACTTGTAATGGTTCGACAAAATCGAGTAAAAAGCATTCAGTAACACATAATAATAGTGTTTAACGGCGAACAACAGAAATACTAAGGCACAATATGTAAAAGTAAGTGATTATTCATACTTCCGAGTGTTTTTATATACACGAGAAAGTGTTTAATACTATCAGGTAGCAATGCACTCATTCAGAAATAGAATTTTTGTTTTAGTGTTTGTCACCAAATATGAGTAATAGTTTTTATGTTGGAATGATTGATTGATCTATGAAAAAAACAGGAAGTAAAAAAAGAAAAAAAAGAAACTTAGCAAAAAAAAATAGTAGGTGAAAAATATCCTTCAAAGATCAGTCTTGAAAATCTTAAGTATGCTTATTATCGATAACCGGTAATAGAATTGCGTCCGTTCACTTAATTGAATAGATTGCCTGACTACATGATCAGATTTTTTTTCATATTTTTATTTTTGAGTACGCATGCAAAGAGAAAAGTCAGCGGAAACTGATCTAATCTCTTTTAAAAGACAAGCATAAATTTCGAAACAAGAGATTGAATAGAAATAGTATTAAGTTATATATTTGATTTATACATATAATGATAAATTAATATGTGATTTTTCTTTATCTATTACGCCTACACATTCATTATATAAACATCTTGCATACAATAGAACCAATTCTCGTATGTTGCGTTATGCATTTTCTGAGGCCATGCAATTGTTTTCACACGTAAAAGCCTGGAAATGATGTGGAATAAAACAATAGCAGAGAGAAAAAAATATGTTGCGTAGAAGTGGGTAGTTTTATTTATCTACCGTCGTTTTTGATTCATATTTCTGTTATTGCTGACTAACCCATCAAGGGAGTTTGTCATTGTCGTAGATTTGTTAAATAAGAAGGATTGACATTGTTCACTTTTTATGTCCTCAGGGCGATCTGTCACGCTATATTGTAATCATGTTTTCTTCGATCTCAAGCTTATAGAGAAGGTATAGAATTTCTTGTCGTGCATTTATACTCTTTTCTAGATGTTGTTTTTTGAACGTGTTCGTACAATAGCTTTGTTATGCTTAACCGTATTTGGATGTACAGGAAATATTTTAACATTAATTGTTGTTAATCAACGATTTTTTCGAAAAACTGCTTCGGCTTCTTTTATATCAGCTTTATCAATTGCCGATTGTATTGTATTATGTTTACAAAGTTTACAAATTGTAACTAAACTTCAACCACAAGTAACATCCTATGATTGTGTGGTATTCTTTCTTATGGATGTATTTCGTCTTTTATCTGTTTGGATTATTTGTTTTATTAATATCGAACGTTGTTCCTTGGTATTTAATCCATGCTATATGCCACGTTTAACTAGTCGTACTAAATCGCGTATACTTGTATTAATATTATTTATTATTTCTTTACTTATATTCAGTCATTATTCCCATCATATGCATATTGAATATGTTTTTAAAACTAATCAAACAGTTCCAATACGTTCATTTTGTGCATTTAAACCAAAATTTCATCGTCTAACATGGGAATGTGTCAAATCTGGTTTAACATATTGGTTTACTGTACCTTTATGTATTATTTGTAATCTTATTATAATTCAACGTCTTCATCGAGCATCACATATTGAACGTACATTAAATAATGAAAATTTAAGAACAAATCATTTCGTTAATACAAATAAATTAGATTTATCAAGTAAACAACGACAATTAACAGCAATGCTTGTAACATCATCAATATGTTTTGTATTAACAGCAACACCATCAACAATACATGCAATTTATATATTGATAACACGTAAAAAAACTAATGTTCAATATGCAATACATATATTTACAAATATTTTACTTCATTTTCATCATGCATCGAATTTTTTAGCTTTTATTTTTTCATGTACACGTTTTCGTATTGAATTATTAAATTTATTTCGACGATATTTTTATTGTCAGATTTATATGAAATGGTTTAAACGTTCAATACCAAATACTGAACAAAATTTAATTTATTCAACTAAACAACAAAAATCACCAATGAAATTATTAACAACAAAAATAACTGAAAAAAAACGAAATATTCAATCACAAAATCATAATGAAATTGCTCTACTTGAAATAAATAAGTATAAAAAACCTCATCAACAAAGAATGCAACCATTTATATAAAATTATTTGTTTTTTCTTTTTTTTTTTTCATACAAAAAATAAAATAAAATCATGATATGATATTCTTAAATTCTATAAAAGAGATATTTATTATTAGTAACATATGTTCTCATTTTCTTTTTTTTTCTTTCTTCTTATCTATTCAATTCAACAATCTCATCTTCTATTATAGAAATACAGATTTAATAATAGTAAATTTGCATTGAATATTAATTATCCTATTATATGTAACAAGCTATAGCTTCAGGATATTTTTCTGACAAAAGAAATTGTATTTGTGTATTAATACAAAAAAAAAGAAAAAAGAGAAAAGCACACTTAGTTACGAATCACTACATTTATAAAAACTGAAAAATGTTAATGATGACATATTCTCTTGATTAATATATATAAAATACTAATAATTATACATGAATGTTTATTTGTATCATGACTTCTTTTTTATTTTGTTTTAGAGATTCTATATAACAATGAACAAAATCAAACTACAATCGTTATATGAAATTTTCGAATAGTATGATAGATATTTTGTTTTTATTTGTAATAGAACAATCTGTTTTTTTTTTTTTTTTTAATAATTATCAAGCAAATTTTATAAATAAACTCATCCAGAGCAACAGAAAATAATTGAAACTATCGAAAAGAAAAAAAAAAAAAGCATTTTTTATGTAATAAAAATCAATGAGAAACAATTTTTGAAAATTTCATTTTCTTTCAAATTTAAATTTCTTTATTAAGATAATAACATAAAATAGAAAGTTTTTTCTTCATTGGATTGTTTTAGAGTGCAGAAAAAAATAAAATCTTATTCACAATCGAATTCTTTACAATATCAAATAATTTAAATTGAATTCTATTTTCATTGTTTTTTTTTTTTGTTTATTTCTTCCATAATGAAATTTATCCACATAACGGTAATATATTTGTTAGCTATTTTTCAAATTTATACAAATCGAGGTCTAAATACACGTGTATACATTATCGATTTTAGAATTTACGCCATATCAATTCTCGATAATGGACGACTATTTCTATAGATAATAATGAAAAGAAAATAGTTTTATTCTTTAAATAGAAATAGAATCTAACTAATTCATTTCATATATCGATTCATTTCAACCTGTTTAACCTCACACTGCACACACACATACACACAAAAGTATATACGATTGTCTTTATTCTTAACTGATCATGACGTCTGCTAAGACTTCGAGTAAATCGAAATCATCATCATCATCACAAAAGATTAATTCACCAAAAAAATCTAATACAAATCAACGAAATGTTAAATCATCACGACGTCCAAATTATCAACGAATGGTTACTGAAGCACTTAGAGAAGTAATTTACGAAATAAATTCTATTTTTATTTTTATAGAAAAAAAATTTTTTTTTTGTTTTTATTTAGCTCGATTCACGTAAAGGTTCAACTCGATCAAAAATTTTGAATCATATTAAAAATACCTATGGAGTCGAAAGTGGTAAAAGTGCTAATGTAAGTTCTATTTAAAAAATAAACCTCAATTAGTCATTAGTAAAAATAATATTCTATTTAAGAGTCATCTTCGTTCTGCACTTGAAGCACTTCTTGAAGAAAGTATTATTACACTTGCTCAAGGTAAATTTCTTATTTATGTATTTCATATTATCTATAGTTTATCAATAGGTACAGGATATAGTAATGCTTATTACAGAATAACACCTAAAGGAAGAAAACAAAATAAGAAACAATCATCATCTTCAGTAAGAAACTTTTTATTTTTTTTTTGTTTTGAAATAATTTTCTTGACATTCAATATTTGGTTTTGTTCTTTTGTTTAAGAAAAACAATCAAGAAGAATCATCATCAGAAAATGAAAATGATGATCGTAGTAATAAATCTTCTTCTCGTTCACAATCAAGATCTAGAAAACAAAATCAAACTAATCGTCAAAGTCAAAATCGTACCGGTTCAAAAGGTCGATCAAAATCTTCAAATAAAAATCAATCTCCTAGTCGTAAAACAAACAAATCATCACAAAATCGATCACGATCATCATCTAAAAGTGAAAAAGGTGATGGTCGCAAATACAATAAATCACCACAAAAACGAAATCAATCACGTTCATCAAGTAAAACAAAATCTGGTGGTCGTCAAAAAAGTAAATCATCAAATCAAAATAAATCTCGTCAATCAACTTCTCGTTCACCAAATAAATCAAAAAGTAGCAAGAAAAATCAACAACAACAACAAGATGATGATGATGATGATAATGAAGAATTAGAAAATGAAGAACAACAATCACAACAACGTGGAAGATCTAAAGGTGGTCGTAAACGACAAGGAAATGATGAAAATCAAGAATCAGAAAATAAACAAAAACGATCTAGATCTTCAAAGAAAAAATCATCAGGAAAAAATAGTAAGAATCTGTTTTTTTGTATAGGAAGTGAATTATAATTTTGATTTATTCATTTTTTGTTTTTTATAGATGATGATGGTAAATCATCACCAACAAAAAAAGCTCGAAGTTCTACTGGTGGTGGTAATAGAAAAAAGGCAAACAAATGATTGGAAAGAAAATCTTTCTCATTATTTTCATATATTTTGTTTGTACATACGTATCCGATGAGAAAGTGTCGAACTATTTTTTTTTGCTGCGTACTTTATTACTATTATTATTTTTTTTTCTTTTGAAACATTATTTATCTTTTGTATAGTATGTATATTGAATCTATCGATTTTCGGAACTCTATATAGACATCTTTTTTTTTTGTTCTCTACTACTTATATTAATTAATCTTGATGAGCAGTGTGCCTCTATTTTTTTTTTCGCTATATTTTGTTGAACTATTTTCGTGTGTGTGTGTTACTCGATTTCAACTATGGGAGTAAGAGAAAGATTAAAACAATAATAAACAAGATTGATAAGAACAGCAAAGAAATTTTGGTTTTTATTATAAATGAAAGAAACAAAAAAATATAGAAGATTTCACTAAGTATCTAATGCTATTAATTCTTCATGAAGAATGAATGCAGTGAGAAATGCTGAATGATTTACATATATATATATATAGGCGCGATCAACCGTCCGGATACCCCATTTTGATGCAGTCCTATTGTAAGGATGAAACATACTATTGTTCGGGTCATATAACAGAGGATCCTAGATAACCCTGAATTGGCCCGAACAACATCATGTTTTATCCGTACAACAGTAGAGAAAAGCTACCAACTCACAGGATAAGCTCGTAGCTTTTCTCAACTATTGTACGGATAAAACATGATGTTGTTCGGGCCAATCCAGGGTTATTTAGGATCCTCTCTTATATGACCCGAACAATAGTATGTTTTATCCTTACAATAGGACTGCATCAAAATGGGGTATCCGGACGGTTGATCGCGCCCATATATATATATATGTATACCATAGAACTGCAGATAATGTTGTGCATATATTCATTATTTCAATCTGACTAACTTTTGAAATACCTATAACACTGAAGAAGGAACATCTTTTTCAAAATATGGTTGATAATTTCTAGTGAAACCGGTCTAACTGAAGTTTTAAAATTTTTTTTTTCAAAGAAGTTATGACAGAGTACGGTAGAGACACGGCAGAAAACTCTGGTTTTTCAGATTTATCGTCGAATATCTAACATAAACAAATGATTTATATACTAGTCAATCGGATGTGAAAAGTATTTTCAGAATATGTAACAAACTCCTCATAGAAAAAAGTTGGATAAAAACTATTTCTTGCAGAAATATTGTCCAAATATAATCAAAGTTCAACATTGTTGATAAAGTCGCAACTGTATTATCTTTTCATTTCAAATCTCCTCATTGTAAATCATATATCGTTCGACAGCATTTTTCGCCAACTATCACAATATATATATATCTTATATATTAACAAAAAAAGTATGACAGAAGGTCAGAAAAGGGAAGTTAATGCCTCTGACATCCTAAAATCTTCTTTTTTTCGTAAGTTTCTGACTAATATATAACTATTTTACATGCTGAAATAAAATATTATATATATGAATAGATACATGAGTATTTTTTTTCTTTATTTGACAATTTCAGTCAGAGGTGCAGAATCTTCCAAACACGTAAAAAATTCCCCCTCCCGCGGAAATTTTCTCCAAAAATTTCCCTAAGCTGTTTTTTCTTCGCCGCTCACAGACCAACTTTATTTGTCACAAAATATAAGTAAAAAAAACATGGCAATATTTTGTTCTGTTTGTTACTGTTCGTACAACATACAAATACTTTCTACTTGTTCTTTTCTTAAGCAGTTCAAAACAACTGAACCAGGTGAAACTAATTTGAATAGACGATGTTGTTCTGTTTTTTTGAAGAAAATTCAATATTTGTCCTTTAGTTAAAAGAAGTAGTTGTTGAGGTAGGACTAAAAAAACAACACAACATAGAGGAAAAGAACTAACATATAATGGAATTATCCATGTTGGACAAATCCTTAACATTCCTTCTTTCGGCCACGATACAGTTCAACAAGCGATAGAATGGTGCAAAGAAATCTGTGGAAAAAGAATTGCCAAGATGTTATACTTCAATAGCAATGTGTGTGTTCTTGGCAAGATCAAGAGCAGAGCATACAAGTAAAGCGAAAAACTAGAAAGAAGAAATTATATCCTGTAACAGTTAATTATGACGAGACCAAGGTTTTCCCTTCTAATAGTTTTTCAAAATTTCCCCAATCTGGGAATTTTCCAAAATTTCCCAGGGTAATGCAATTTTTCAAAAAATTTCCCGTCCTGCGCGGGGGCACACAAGGAAGTTTCTGCACCTCTGATTTCAGTACTTATTTCTAATCATATTTCATAAACTATGAAATACTGTGAAAAACTATCCATTCACAAATGATGAAACTGCTAAGTAGATGATCTTTCGACGCTTGAATAGACATATCATTTGATGTTCCGAAAAATTATCTCTCTTTAAGAAGAAAAAAAGTTTTCTTTATTTTGAACGATTCCAGTGTATTGTCACAACCTCTACATTGAGTACTAAGAGTGTCAATATGACAATAGCAACAGTCACGAACTATCAACATAAGACTTTAATGAACGACGATTATCTGTTTTTCTGAAATATGCTATAGTCGAACATTTTCTTGATCTATAATGCAGACAAAGATCGGTCAATATTCTCGGCAAATCGTTCAGTTTTCCGAAGCATTGTATGAGAGTCAACTGTTTAAAAAATACGAAATGAACTGTTTTCGAGCAACTTTATTATTTTAATATCTGACTTCATTCAAAACTAAAACTACAATACTAAATGCATCATTGCCATTAAAAACTTCATCACATAGGTCACTGTTCAATTTGATCTGACGACTGGATTCATTTCTCGAATAGGAATTGTATCGGAAGGCAAAACTGCAGGCATTTCCAAATTGAATGCAGCTCAACAACCAAAAATGTTCTCACCAGCATAGGCAATATACAGAAAGCCATCTTTGTCCTTATATTCTGCATAGATCGTGCCCATGGTCGAACTTAGTTGTGGAATTATCCAGGACTGTTTAAAAAAATTTAATAATTTGAACGTTCCTTTATGAGTGTTGTTGACAAAGGCATAAAGGGTGGTTTCAGATGACAATTGCATCCGTGTTCGAATAGTACAGAGAAATTGTTCCATGCTGATATCGTACGGAACCAGAAGCTTTCGATTATCAATTTCAGATATTTGCGATCCGTGTGCCCGTTCAACAATAACTGGAATACGGTCAGGATTTTTCATAAGAACATTCTTAGAATCTTGCTTGCGTTGTTCAAAGGTTGTCTCTTCCTTAAATCGGAATATCATTGTATGTGACAATTATTTAATCAGAATAAATTACTTAAGCCAAGTGATTGTCTGTCGTTTTATATATTTTACAAAAGGATTATATCTAAACAAAACTATCAAAAGGAAATTTCACAATCGATGCGTAATATGCGTTATTTTCTATTTTTAGTTATCGTATTTTGCGTTCTTTTTTCCCGCCTCCTTGTTGATGTAGGACAACAGTGATATTCTTTCATACGATAAATGTGAGTAGTCATTTTCGTTGTCATTGAGAGACTCGAAAAGCAATTAAAAAGTGACTCATTTTGTTGCCTATGACTAATTAATTTTCTTTTCTCGAACTTCGAAAGGGAATAGTTAAGTCAACATTCGACTATGATGCTCTGGCTTTTTCCTTGTTATTGCAAAAGCAAATTTTGGAGATATTAATGTATAGAGAGCAACAAATAACAGTATTAATAAAACGAATTGATATAACGAAAGAAAAATATTGTCAGTCTTCGATTATCATATTTAAAAGGAGGCCATTGTAGGAATAGGCTTAAAGCTCACACAACATTGTTTCGGATGAGTTCGAACATCCTTCCTTTTTTTTGATCGTAGCAGAAAGATCACCGAAAAACATTTCTATTATCCATAAGCTGGATCATTCTCTGAAAACGAATCATTTCGATGAATATAAGAAATAATATTTTCTTCAACCTTATTTGAAGCATTGAACAATAAAATAGTTTCAATTTTGGTTAACTGGAAAGAGATCGAAAAAGTTAATTCGTTTCTGTTTGAGTAAAACTAAGAATGAGAGTCTACTTCTTCCACGAACTCCATACTCGTAAGTATTTTTTTTTGAATAATCAGTTTCTCTCAATGCATTCAAAATGCCAAGTTGTACTCAAACGTAGTAACAATGTCAAGAATCTTCATTGCTGTATATCAATCGATTATCTTTCTAAATATGATTTAGATATTCAGTTGAACAGATTTAATTTTGAATGAATCATTGACCGATAACGATCATGAACAATGCTCTCTGATCGTCATTTTGATTAATTAACAATTGAATAACAAAAAGTTTTCACGATGAGTATGTGAAAATTGAATGGGACAAGAATTGGTCTCAAGCTTTTTGTATTAGTTACGCATATCTTGATAAACCTAAATGAATAAACATTGGCGAAACCTAGACGAAATTCTTTAGTCATAGCTAAACCATGAGCCATTAGATTTTTCTTTCTGATTTATTACTATCTATTCAAGAAGTCAATGGACTCGGTTTTATCTTGAATAATTCAAACATAGTAAACACAGTGATCAGTATTCATCAATTATTAGTGATCATTTTCGAAACGATGCTCATAAGAATCTTCCAATTACATGCTGATTTTCAAAATGGTCATTCTACAGAAAAAAAAAACAAGACCTCGTACTCTACGCAAGACCGCTGATTCATAGAAGACTTTGATCATGTTAAAATGAATGTTGATGTTTGTTTTATTTTTTTAAAGCAGCATGAAAATGATTACTACTAATGACTAACCGTTTTTGACTTCTTCTGAATGTAAAAGTACAATGATTGTGAAAGTTTATCAGGGAAGATTATGCATGTGGGTGTAGAGTATGGACACTTCCTCTCTCTTCATCAATACCTGCTCACTCCATCCACACCTACACTCGATTCATTATACGAACATGGAGTCATGTATAAATGATGTACGTACGTATTTTGTCGTATACGATACAGCATTATATGACTATAATACTATTTCTATCAAATGGGTATGGCAAGGTTTGTAGACGGTCTTAATCGAACCATTTACGTGCATTTACGTCATCGTAAACATTCAGTGTACAGTCGTTTCCGATCGTCGCAATAATGGCTCAGAAAGGTTTCATAAATATGAAGTTATCAAAAAATCTATTCATCAGCGAAGTTATGATACTTTAAAGAGTTAAATGAATGGATTTATTTTCTCAATGAATAACTATTAATACTATGATACATAAAGATGAAATTTTTCTAATTAGGAATTATAATAAATATTATACGATCAAATTCAAATATATTTTCTTCAAATAATTTTTCAGCAGAAGTTTTTTGTTATTGTCTAACAAACAATTTTGAAAAGTCATTACTGTTATTGTAAGAATGCAATTATCTTATTTTTTGTCATTACCAAAACAGATTTCAAGGTCTAATTTTGTGTGAAAATACTTATAATTATATTGTCAAAATAGAATTAAAGTTTTTATTCGAATTAGATATCGAAAGAGAATGTAAAAAATCATATTGTACATTTGATAACGATGACCTTTACTTCTAAAGCTTGATAAATTGAAATAAAACAATATGAACTCGGTTGTTTAAACACTAGAATATCTAAATTATTGACAATTACTAGTATACAAACAACGAAATAGCAACACTACTTGATAAGACTTATGAGACACCTATGATTGTTAAATAGCAAAAATATGTAAATATTTTTCTCTTCGATTTATAAATATAGGGAGGGCAAATGTGACATGGGGAATAGTGCAAAATAAATATAATCGAAAACAGTCTGAATCATCAAAAATGACGAACGAAAACGAATGAAAATGATTATTTCTTTCTTTCGTTTGTTGCTCTCGCGTTCGACATTTGTCATGGTTCATTGGTTTTTCTCCTTTGCATTGATAAGTATTTTTGTAATACACTATTTTAACTTGAATCAAGAACTATTATGACATCAAAGCGTAACGATCATTATTTTCATACCTCTTATTCTTTAAATTTTCTTTTGAATAATAATTCAACAGACGATGATTCTACATCATTTCCAAGTTTAGATATAGATCAAATTTTTGGTCTACGTAATTTATCTTCAAATTTAAATACACTTTTAAATCATCGACGTAGATCAAGTACAAGTTTAATAAACTCAAGTGCAAATAATAAAGATTCAAATAAAAGTGTTGTCATCATTAATGGTTCTCTATTTGATGCACAATTATTTCAACCTATTCGTTCATCTTATATTATTGATTATGGAAATACATCACAAGATCTCAATCGACATCTTGAAGGTCACAACATATCATCAAAATGTTCAACATTAGATGCTCATCTATTCAAATTAGCATTTATAATAACATTATCAGATGGGTACGTTGATAATGAAGTTTTAGTTGATTATTGTCCACATAACAATACCAATGTGAATATTCTTGATGAAATTTCACATTATAAACGATTTTGTTTTCCTGAATTAAATTCTAAACGAAAATCTAAAGGACAATTTTTAAATGATAAATCAACATATGTTTTTACACGAACACGTTCAAATGGACAAGTTGAATATGGTTATTGTCGACGATTGACAACAAATTCTAATCAAGTAACAAAATTTCCCATTGTATTTTGTATAGGTATAAATTAAAATGTCTTCTCTTCTTGTTATAAAAAATGATATTTATTATTTATTTAATTATAGTTTCGGCTTATTCATATTTTAAACTTTACGATGCTATTTTAAATGAAATAACTAAAGGTAAAATATCAATCTAGAAAATTAATCTTATTTGTATATGATCATTAAAACAAAAATAAAAAAAATAACTAAACTTGATATAATATTCAATATATCATCACCAAATAAGTCATTTCTTTTTTTTTTGTTTGTCCGTCTTTTTACCTTTTCATTTCATATTGAGATAGAAGAATGATTCAAAATCTTTTCTTTTCAAAGTTCTAAGTTTTACATGAATGTGACTTTACATAAATGTATCTGTCATCAGTAATCTACTATGTCTTATTAAAATAAGAAAACATGAGATTTTCTTTATTTTAGTTTACTTACTTTCAATATTTTAAATATTTACAAGAAATATTTTATTTTTGCTAAGCAAGCATAATCTAGAATTTGAGGACTTGACTTATCCTCTATTAATCTACTATGTGAAGTATTTTAGCTAGAAAACATAAAGGATAATATTCCTAGTATAGATTTACTTCAAGTATAAAACTGATAATAAACGGCAGAGATAGATACGATGAAAACTTCAAATATACAATTAGTTTGAATACTGAAGATCATGATGTACCTTCATACTTTGCGTATGGGGGACAAATATAAACTTTTCATTCGTTAACAATAAAGTAAGAGTAAACAAAAACACGTATTCAAAACAATAGAACATCACTAAAAATAAATGAGTAATAAGTGAGTCAAGGTCATTGGTCAATACTATAGAATATAAACAGATAGTCTGAATTGTGATGAAAAAAACCACAAACTAATATTTTTATATTGACGAATATATTTCATTCAGTAATTTGAAATAAAAATAAAAATATTTATCAATAGTATGAATCCTATGTGTTTATAATATGCAATTTCAATTGATTCGTAAGACGACTAATTAGTTATTTTTTGTTTCATTGGTTTTTCACTATTCATCTAAAAAGAAGTGTACTTTAATGTAGAAAAATATTTTTGTCTCAATTCAGGAAATGAAATTTTACCTCTATCTAGGAAATGAAATTTTATCTTCATCTAGGAAATGAAATCAAACAAAGCAATTACCGATACATTTAAGAAAAAAGTTCAATTTTTCTCCAGGAGCGAGAAGTTGAAAATGAAAAACATGTTTTTTCCTTTCTTTAAATTTCCATTTATTGAATTGTTTTGTATGTTTCATCGAAAAAAATAGAGGAACAAGTAATTCCGTTATTAAAACACATGTGTTCATTATTTTTTAGTTAATTTACGACAATTTATATTATTAGGTTAATTCAATCTATTTTTGTATATTATAATGAAAAAATGTGGTAAAATGAGGATGAGTACTATTGTTGGCATACACGAAAAGGATACAAACACATCAAGTTGCTCAAGTACACATGCTAGAAAGTCGTGCTCGCCGGGTTCATATTTTCACTAGGAATGATCTATCATTATTACAGTTCATATTTGTTGACAAATACTTGAAATATATATACTTACATTATCAGATTGGTAATCATCGACTATAGTAAAGAGAAGTGTTTGAAGATATGACATACATTCTTAGTAGTAGAATACTTAAAATTCTCTTTTTATAATTGTCATTTCTTTTCTATTTTTCCTAGTATACTTAACAAATGAATTTGAATGTAATTTTTTAATACAATCATTCTATTCGAAACCATTACCTGTGCCTACTCTAAGTTCATCAGGTATAATATGTATGCTAAATGATCGTCGCATATTTTATTATTTATGTCCACGTGATAATCGTCTTAATCATGATTATTATTCTACATTACTTTCATGTCTATCACCAAATCATATCGTTCAGTTATTTGAATCAATATTATGTTCAAAACGTATATTAGTTTTTTCACGTTCTCCATCAAAATTAACAAAATGTTGTCTTGCTTTATCATTGTTAATTTATCCATTTATATGGTCTTTTCCATTGGTTTCATTAATGCCATCATTATGGTTGCATGATTTAGTCGAATCTCCATGTCCCTATATATATGGTTGTTTATATGAAACAATACAAGATATACCATCAACAGTTGATCATGATGCAATACATGTTGATCTTGATTTAAATACAATTGCAGATCCTACTGATAATATATATTTATTACCACTTAATCTTCGACGAACATTCGAATCATCACTCGAATATATCATTAAATATCGTTTCAGAAAAGTAAACTCAAATTTAATTAATATAGCTGTCAGTGAAGCATGCTTAAATGTATTCATAGAATTATTTTATCGTTTACCAGACTTTTTTAAACAAAAGAATATATCAACAAAAAAAAATGATGACCAATGTTCGATGTGTTCAAATTATTTTATAGAGTCTGATAGTGAAAATGATCTTGAATCGCTTGTATCTGTTGATTTAGAACAAACAACAACAACAACAACAACAACAACAACAACAAATAATGAGGATAAACAAGATAAAAATCGGTTCGATTATGATTTTCAGTCTGAAGAATTTCTTAGTGCACAACCAAAATCTTATGTTTCATTTCTTAAAGGATTTATTCATGGTATGATTCATTTCTACATAGAAAATAAAAAAATAGAAAATATTTTTGATTATTTAGGAATGATATTTTTAAAATTTCTTGATGATTATCAACAAAATGATGGTAATAATAAAGAATTCTTTTTACTTTTTACTCAACGTTTAAAGGAACGACGTCAAATGACATCTGATGATCAATCAATAAATCCATTAATAAGATTCCAACAAACATTTGATTTATTAGCAAAACAAATTGATCAAGTATCTAAACAAGCAAATCCATCTTTTTCAAAATATTTGAAAAAAATTTTTGAACAGAACTAAAAAGACAATGTATCCAAGAAAGAAGAAAAAAAAAAGATTTTCTTGTAAAATATTATTTTTAATCGTAAAAATACTAATAATTGATTTGCATAAAATTCGTTTGTTTGAATTACAATATGTTATTAAGTCTTATTAACTCATTTCTTTTTTCTTTTAATAATATGAACGTGTAAATTTTATTACAAAGGTGTGTGAATAGAAAGAAAAAAAAAGGGTGTGGGTGAATACAAATCGTTACCTAAAAAAACATATTAAGACACAAGTCAGGTTCAACTAATTATATTATTCATTACTGGTAGGTTAAAAATACAAATCAATCGGAAATTCAGAAAGAATTTTTTCTATATGCTATTTTAAGCAAAGTAACTACTTGTATCCAATATTAATGCAATGAGTCGATTGAAAAGGAACTAGCTATTATCATTGTACACTTAACATAGTCTCATGCATTTTAAAAATTTAGTTCTTTTTACTTCCACTCGATCTTTTATGTTGTCTCGACGACATCAATGTTTCAATACATGACGAACAGCACTGTTACTTTGATTAGTACATTCATTGAATGTTTCTAGTAGCTGTTTTCTTTATCATCATTATCTTCAACATATATATTTATATGTTCTGCGTTTTGTGACCCCGCTAAAAAAATACTCAACAATGAATAAAAGAACACTAAGAAAAAAAAATAGCTTCTTTTACTATTGTATTCACTCGATTGATCATCCATTACAAAAACTTTGTCTTCGATCAACTAATACGTTCAATCATTAATAATTTTCAATTCATCGTATTTCGACATCGCAACATCCTCCTTTTCTCTCTCCTTTTCTTTCTTCTCTTGTAATTCAGTGTTGCCCACACTAATGTCAAACATACAAACTATACGACGCAAACTAATGGTAACAACTCAATGCAAGAAGGAGAGAACATAACAGACGAGAAAGAGAGACAGAGAGAGCAAAAGAAATAAGAGCTAAAAATCGATTAAACAGAAATCTCTGTTGAAAAACGACACACATACACAGAAGACCGAACAGCTAATTGCCCATTCATTTTTAATCAAAGCTATTATTTGTATATATGTAATAAGCCAAAAAGTACGACTGAAAACTAAATAATAACCACTGTTATCATTATTAGAATACACTAAGACTACCAACGTTGGATACTTTATCAGCATGAGTAATTAGTAAAGGTAATAAGAAAAAGATCAATTTTTATTTTCTTTCTGTTGCAGCAATCAAAAAAGAAATGATAAGAATAATGTGTATTTAAGTTTTTTTTTTTCTTATCATCTAATGAGCTGTGAATGACATTGACTCATCAATATTAAAATAAAATATTAGTCATTTATCTTATACCTTTTCTATTAAATTTGGATCATTAAGTTTAGTTAGCCTTTCATAAAACTTAGATGTAGCGATAAGTTTAATTTATAGAAAAATTAATATAGACATTATAAGAAAAAAATCCAACCATTCTTCATCCGTTAACATAGTGAAAAATCTTCTAAAGGTATAATATAGTTGTCTAATGCATCAATGCCTAGAGGTATGCGTGCACATACGTCACTGCCTCATTTTTTTTAATTTTCCATTTTCTCTCTTTTATAAAAACCTATTTCTTCTTGTATTTACCGATTTATATATATATCATTATTGCAGACTATTGACTTTCATCTCGTGTCCGTATCAATCTTTGAAAGCGTGTTTTTTTTCTTCGACTATCTATATAGATTTATTTATTCGAATAAAAATAATTAATTTTATTAAATCATGCAATATCAATCAAGTATCGCATATATATTTATCGTGCTTTTTGGTATGACAGTTTTAATGGCACAAGCTAATAAAGAACGTGAACAATTTACAGCTCTATTGCAAAAACGAAAACATCTTAATGGTTATTGGGTAGGCAAAAGATATACAAGTGGATCTGATGAAGATTTATACGATAGTGGTAAATAAACAAAAATAAAATGCTTCTTTTGTGTTTCTACTTCTATTATTTCCAGATGAAGATCTATCGGCATCAAAACGAGCATCTTATTTAGTTGGTAAACGTGGTACATATTTGGTTGGTAAACGTGCCTCGTATCTTGTTGGACGTAAACGTCGTGATCTGATGGCCACTGATACTAATCAAAAATAAACATTTACCAACATTTTTACAAGATAAAATAAATAAATAAATATATATATAAGATTTTTTTGTTGGATGTATCGCTCAACATCACTGAAAATATATGACAAAAAGTTTTTTGCTTAACTTAATAAATAAAACGATAAATATTATCAGCGAATACATATAATCGAAGGTTTTCTTAAAGAATTAAGAATTAATTATGTTCATATATATTCTAAAATCTATATTTATAATATTGAATCTTTATTCGAAACAAATGATTGCTATTGAAAATGTTTGCATCATGAAAACTAGTCAATTGATGAAACATTAATAAATTAAGTATGACTAGTTGTTCTAAAATTGTTTTTATTTTATAAGAATGTCTATGTAAAAATTATTGTACTCTAGGGAAATAAATGTCTTAAAGATTAAATCAAAATTGATTCACATGTTGATATAAAAAGATACGACAATTTTAGTTTTCATATATTGATATTTTTTATTTCTTTTTATCATGGTAGAAATGTTATTAGGCCAATGTTACGAAAAATAATATATGCATCTTGATTATAAGAAAAAATGACATTCTCTATTAAATCAATGTTATTCGAAGAAGAACTACTTTGATTACCATTTATGATGATAATAATCAGCTTACTTAAAAACAATTGATAAAAGTTATGCATTTCTATTAAGTAGTATTGAATATGAAATTTTTGAAATACTTCATGGTATACTTGTATAGAGACATGTTATTATTACTTCATTCAACATAGAAGCACGATCTGATGCATATAACATAAATGTCAGATTATTTGCAATAAAAAAAAAAAGTTGAACAATAAAAAGTTGACAGATATGAGATTTGTTGTGTTTTCACAGTTATGAACAACATTTATTTCTGTATAAGACACAGAGAAAGTTAAACTTTAGGCAAAATTAAATTTACAATGAAAAGTCACGTATTCTAAGTTAAGGAGGTTGACCATATATGGATCAAATCAATGTTCTTACCGTCAAACCAATTAAGTTAAAATATGACGCGCTCATTAGGTATATTTAATTTGTACTGATTCTACTATTATCTGAAAGTATAGTAATATAGAACTGGTCTGAGTGGTCAATGGGATTGTTCGTATATGTAAGCATTCTTGAATGGCGACAACCAGCAAATTCTGGGATAACTCAAATGTAGCAATGATGGGAGAGTAAAGTGGAGACTGAAAATTAGAAAAAACTGTGACTAATTTATGAACAACCTTAGTTGACTATATCTTTACCGATGATGTTAAGAAATCACCGACAAGTAAACTTCATGAAAGTATTCTTATTAATATTTCGTAGAACTTATCGTATTTAAAAGTTAAAATATCGACCCAAACAGATGAATTTAGTGAATATCGCAAAACATCTTTCACATTTGGCTGAAACTCATTTGGACTCCGCAATTGTTACGATCATTTCCAATGTGATGCGCACTTCGCAGCAATTATATGATATTCTAAAGACTTATAAAAAAAAAGTTACTTAAGTGAATTTGATACTGATGAAACTCTCGAATTCAACGATGAATATGATGACACATCTTAGGAGTAGCTGTGATGCTTATGGTGACTGTAGTAATAACCAATATCTAGATATAAACAGCAACTTTATGGTGGAGAAAATGTAAAATATAACGGAACGCATCGATGAACATTCAATTATATTGTTTTTCAACCATTCAACATAAATTTCAAAAAATCTAATCAATCAATTCCATTTCAAGGTGAATACGATATGTCGAACGTAATGAAACAAGACTTGAAAAACTTTAAAAAAAAAATTAAAACATTAATTTTTAAGGATATTTATGTAAAAAGAGCAATCGAAATGAAAGCCCTAGTGGAAGTACTGAGTTCAAAGTACCCAAAAGGCTACCCTGTTACCAGTATGTCTAGAAATTTTTGGGTACTTTTTGAGGTTTTTGCTACTGACTCCAGAATGCTTTTAGGTGTTCAATCTAGTTAATACATTGAAAATTTTTTTTCATACAGTACTCTAGCAACTGAGTAAGTACCAAATCAAGTACCTGATCAATACTGGGTACTGACATAAATCCCAGCAGGGTACCCGGCCAAGTTCCTATGATATAAATTTGCTGAAAATCGCCTCAGTACACAGGTACCTTGAACTCAATATATTCTAGGGAGCAGTTCACGATATTAAGTAAGAACGTGTTGTACTTCAAAAAAGTGAAAGAATCAAGATGGGATAAGGTTAAACCAGTGCAACGTATATAAATTCGTTTTAGAAAATTTAAGCGAATATCGTTACGAAGATACGAGAAGATTATTACTTTAAATATCACAAATAGAAAAATCTACAGCTTAAATAGTATTCAAACTTATTAGAGGTTTCAGTTAGTTTTTTAAATACGATAGATATTCATGCTGTAGATGCTCAAAACTGGGTGGAGAGCAACAAATCTTTAATTTCGAAGAATTCATCTAATGAAATTTTGAACAGTAACTGTTGTTCATTTCAACAAGAAGAGATTGTTCCAAGAACGCTTTCTTGTACTAGATTAATTAATTCAATTGTGGTTCCATGAAATATTTTATTTGCAGAAAAATCTTCGACTGGTTGGTATTGAACAGCTGCTGGATAAACTATACCTATCATTATCAACGTTGTTGAGGAATTCATAATTGAACTGTCGAATAGCTTTACGTTTCTTGTTAGCTTTTTTTTAACACTCTTTGACTGTTAATTCAAGCGGAAGAGAGTTGATATAATCCAAGCTATCTTGTGAAAAATACTCAGGAACTAATTTTTTTAACTTTATTGTGTTACCGATGATGATGAGATTTTAACATCAAATAAGTATTAGC